AGAGAGAGAGAGAGAGAGAGAGAGAGAGAGAGAGAGAGAGAGAGAGAGAGAGAGAGAGAGAGAGAGAGAGAGAAAGGGGGGGAGGGGGAAGGGACGAGTGGTGGGTGGGATATGGCATGCACGAGGATATTGTGGAAAGGCTCTGTGTATTATGGGAATCTATTTATAGCTTTAAAGCTAATTATCACTTGGCCGAAGTTACATTCAGGAATCTACGAAGATTGGAATCACCTTGGACCTTGGTCTGAAATAGCCAGTGGTATTTCTGATTTTCTTAATGTCTATGAATGCCTTCAGGTGAACGATCTTCTGAGAGAAAAAGAGAAGTGGGGAGATAGGGTCCTTAGTGCAGAGCTGGCTAAAGCGGGCATGGAGAAAGAACTGACTGAGGCAAAAGCAGCCTCTGATGCAGCAAGGTAACCTCCTGTTTCTCTGGGTTTCATGTTGTTTCATTCCATTCCTTACCTGATGCTTTCCCTTTCTCTCCTTCCTTCTGCCCCTTTACTTCTTTTGTCCCCTTCCCAGCAAAGGCAGGCCCTGACTCGTTGCATGGAAAGCTCTTGTATGAAGTTGCAAACAGAGAAAGTGCATCGCACATTCCGAAGTCCACCTCGAGTCTGCTTTCCATATTTAGGTTGCAGTTTGTCCGTGGGTCAAGGTGTTTGCATCTATCTATGAAATATGATTGGGGAGTTGATACGCGATTTGCGTGAGGGTTGAAGGTACCAACTACTTTATGTTGATGTTTCTACCAGCTACTCTATTTTCATGTTTTGACCAGCCACTTTATGTTCATACTTCTACCAGCTACTTTATGTTCATGTTTCGACCATGTCCTCCTGATTATGGATACACCTCATGTGTGGCCTGGCCATCATTGCTGCTGCTTTTCCCTCTGTTTGCCCATCCTGTTTATGGTGATCACAGCCACAATTCCTGTACCACCGATTTCACATTACATGGAGGCCTCAAGACTCCCCTCTGTATGCCCATCCTTTATGGTGAGCACGGCCACAAGTCCTCCGCCACCAGTTTCACATTGCATGGAGGGCTAGAAATTCTCTTGAGCACTTTAGTTACTCTGAATTCTTGACGAAAGATGGACAGAGGGAAAGAGATCATGCTTGCTTGAGATTGGCTCATCTGGTATGGGCATGTGATACCTGAAAGTTCATTCCCCATTGTTCTATACTAATACAGAGGAGGGTTTGAGATTGAGCAGGCGGCTGGATGTGAAATTTCTCAGTTGATTCTGGGCGCTCGGGCTCCCCGGACTCGACTGGGTGACCTGCCTGGCTGGGCAGTTGGGCAGCCTTCCAGCTATGGCCATGTCATACCTGAAAGTTCATTCCCCATTGTTCTATACTAATACAGAGGAGGGTTTGAGTTTGAGCCGCCGGCTGGGTGTGAAAATTCTCAGTTCAATCTTGGCTCTGAGGCTCCCCGGACTCGACTGTGTGACCTGCCTGGCCGGGCAGTTGGGCAGCCTTCCAGCCATTCTGAGGAATGTGTTGTAACTTTTTGATCCACGGGGGGGAGGATCCTTTTCGTGGTAGCTAAAATTTGTTATTGGGGATATGGGACTCTGGTTCTGGTTACCTCCAGGTGGTGCTCCCAACCAGTAGATGGAGCCTCAGCAAAAAAAATAAAATTGAATATACCTTTTTGGTATGGCAGTATTTGAATAAGACGTTTTTCTGGAGCAATGAAAGTGAAGTGTATGCCATGGCGTTCCCTTGAAATACAATGCCTACCGTTTTCCCCCGAATAGAACGCATGGTCATGGCTGCTGAGGGTGAGAGGAAAACAGTAGGCATTGTATCCAAACTGATGTTCTAGTTGGAAAAAAATCAACCAAAATCTAAAAGTCGCCCTTTTTTTCCCGAACTCAAAGGGGAAAAGGTATCCGGAGGGTTAGAGGAGCCAAAAGGGTTTCAGGGATTGTTAAGTGTCTTCGGGGTATTAGGTCGTTTTAGGTCTAGACTCTTGAGGGCCTTTTTCTTTAATTTACTTTTCTCCTTCTTTCTTAAACCGCCAGTATATGTATGGCCCCAGCCCTGCAATATTTCTTCATCACCTAGCCCAAAAATTTTGGAGGCTCCGGGCTACCATACCGTAATTTCATCAGCCAAATAAGAAAAGAAATGCACCGCTGGCAGTTCTGCAAAGCTTGGCACGGAGTGCAGTGCCGCCAGCCCCAGGTGAACTGGTGGCTTAAGAAGGGTGACGGCTTTGAGATATCATCATCAGCCACTGAGCTAGAATTGTGGTATTTTACTCGTCTGCTGCCAGCGGAGTTGGAATTCAGGTCTGTACTTCAACAGTTCAGGGGTGTACCAACTGAGCTATACCAGTTTGTCTCGAGGGGTATTTGGTTAGGGCGGCTCCACCTTTGTTGACGCCTTATGGTACCATATGTACCTGTCTCACAGTCAGGGATCTTAAGGACTTTGTGATGGGCCAAAGCGTACTTCAACCTTTTGAAGCCACACTCGCAGTCAGCTGTCCACTCCGAAGGGGTTTAAGGGTGCATTAGACCGGTCAAGGGGGTTGCAATCATACTATAGTTCTTCACAAATGGATGATTGTAGCCCGTCAGCCCCGAGAACGATCTGACCTCGGTCACAGACCGAGGTCGTGGTAATTATACACAAACACTCAACGAGTGCACAGATAGCAGCTAAATTCATAGAGCATAAAATAACAAGTGATACACCATACACAAAAGGCATCAGCAGAAGCAAGGAGCAGAAGGTGACGACACCATCAGGCAGACATCCAAAGCAAGGAGAAGAGGAAGGAGGTAGGGAAGAGGACGTCAACACCATAGTTCTCCTGAACGCGACCCTGATAGGTCATAAAAGATAAACAAGAAGAAACAACCTATCAAGCTAGCATCGTGCAAAGATGGTCAGCATTTCCCTGAAGAAACTGCTGAATCCGTGAAGCATCAGCAAGCTACGAAAAGCGCGACTCTACGCACATTTCGGCCGGTCAACAGCCAGGCCATCATCAGGGGTCAAATCGTCGCGGTGGAGGAGGCCTAGGACTATGATGACGCCGCTATAAGTAGTCCTACAACCAAGCCTACATCGTAGAGATAACCCCTCAAGGTTCCAATTGTACCAAACCGCGTCCAAGAGAAAAGTTCCAGGTAACAAACCGTTTCAGAAAATACCTCGAAAAGCTCACCTACAGAAGCAGAAAATACCGGAAGAACAGTCTCGAGTACTCGTTACCCAAAGCATACAAAAGAAGAACCAAGCACCGAAACAAGAACCAGAACCAGATCCCCAGTTCAAGTCCCGCTAGAAAAAGCAGACTGAAAGAAAGGAAGAACGATCAAGGATTCAAGTAGCACCCGCGTCAATTCGAGTCCTAGAATAGAAGGGAGGGAGACAGAGAGGCCACGAGATCAAGAGGTACCATCACATCACCCTAGAATCCAAGGAATACCAGCAAGAGGTCGTGGCCAGTCTCTAATGCTGGCCACCTTCACATCCTGAGGTCTCAGACCACCCGCGGAAATTTCATGACCAAAATACAAGATGAAAGGCATTACACGATGCAGACCCCAAATTCGAACTTCAGGGTCGAAGTCTCAGGCCAAGTCGCTCAGTTCAGAAAGGTCACAGTCGGGTACCTTAGGAGTCAAGTCCAGCAGGCACCCGGTGAACAGTCTCATCCCAGAGGCAAAGGTTGCGTTCTATAAGCAAAAGTCACGTCTCGTATTGAAAAGTCGTATTGAAAAGTCATACCCCACAGGCAAAGGACACTTCTCCAGGCAAAAGTCGTGTCCCAGAGGCAAGAGTTACATCCCAAAGTCAAAAGTCATGTTCCATAGGTTAAAAGTCGTGACTCACAGGCCCAAGCAGCAGGACACCAATGAAAATTCGGAAAAGTACCAGGCCTTGAGATTCTGAAGCAAGCAGGCCGTGGGCATGTGGTACCAGTACCAAGTCAAGCCACAAGAAGCAGAGGCTGGGATGCTCAGGCCAAGTCAATGTAAGGACTGGTTAGCCACATTTGGGACAGATTGATCATTCGTGAGAAGTGTGGAAGTGCTGTTGAGGCGCTTGTGCGCTATCTGTGAGTAGCATCCTCGCGAGAGCCCTGCTGGGCAGCGCTGCACGGAGAGGGAAGGCGGCCATAGCCTCATCAGAGTCAAGATTCTCAAGTAGAGACAGAGGGGGAGAGAAAGCGCATGCATGAGGAAGACCAGAAGGGACAGAGAGAAGACAGAGAGAGAGACAGAGAAGAGGAAGACAGAGAGGGAGAGAAGAGAGTCACTTACCTTCGATGAGGATGCTGGTATTGGGTTGCTGTATTCTGCGCTGAGGAGCGCTTGGTGACTGGATCTCCGAAACTGTTTAATGAGATAATTTGTTGGAATTACTAGGCTGCGCATATCTGGACCTTACATCTCTGGACTCCAGTGTGGTTTTCGTGTGATCTCTCAATGTGTGTGTGTGTGTGTGTGTGTGTGTGTGTGTGTGTGTGTGTGTGTGTGTGTGCGCGCTCTAATGGTGACGAGCAGTCAGGCTCAATGCAAAGATCCTGGCGCGCGACTGAAGTCACAGTTCTTCAGATTGATCTTGTACTTGTGCTGCCAAAGGAGACGTAGCACGATGCTCAAGTGCTGCGTGTGCTCCTCAACAGCCCTACTAGAGATAAGTATATCATCGAGGTGCACTGCGATAAACTTGTCGAAGTAGTCATGAAAGATCCTATTCATGGCGTGCTGGAATATACCCGGGCCTTAACGTAGGCCGAAAGGCATCACCACAAGCTCGTACAGATCGTGACGGGTTTGAAATGCAGTTATTTGCTGATCCTCACGTCTAATCTGTATTTGGTGGTACCCGGACTTCAGATCTATCTTGTTGAAGTACTTACAGCCCTGCACCTTATCCGAGAGGTCGTCGATGCGAGGTAGGGGCTCGGCGTTCTTAACAGTAATGGCATTGAGGCCCCTGTAATCAATGCACCTCCTCACCGTACCCTACCTGGGATAATCTTTATTGTGTGGACAATCTCCCTATGTACGTCTTCTGATGGCTCTTCTGGGTGGTCTGGATATTGGGTGGTGACTTTCTCTATCTCCGGAGGGTTTTTGCCAGCCTGCCCCTTCTGGGATATGAAGACCAAGTACATACCCTGCGCTTGGTTCTGCTTATAATAATTATAGAACACGTGTGTTCAAGCAGCCATACGAGTCTTCCACATACTGGGAACTAAACTTTCTCAGACAGACTGTCCTCCCCTCAGGCAACTTAGACCACCAGTTCACCTAGACCTATTTTGACGAACCAAAACTTGCAATTTTCCGAGCCTCGAACTGGTACTGTCTCATGGAAAAATAAACGTGGTACCGGTACCGGCCTTATGTCTGTTCGTCTGGGTGGACTTCAGGTTC